ATGTACATATGTTCTTATAGGTGAACTGTATACTGGAGACTTACTTATCAGGAAATGAAGATACATTTCAGTATGCATCTCTACTCCCAAATAAAAGGAGGACTCCCAATGAAACTGTTAAATATATCTTGACAATAGGGTACTAGACTTTCTTTCATTGCCTATATCTTTGATGCCATGATACACTTAAATAGCAGATAGACGGACTTGTGACTGTTGCTGAAGGACTATACTAGTGTGATAATATAGGGTAAAATGATAGCAGGGGGAATAGGCAGGGGTAGAAGGAAAACCCCTATTCCCATAGGAGCATATCACATGAAAAATTTAAAAATGCAAAAAATAGGCATACAAATAACTCTTTCATAAGCTGACTTCATTTTGTTTGAGTGAATTTTCAGAGTGGAATGGCTGGGTCAAACAGTAGATTTATTTTCATATATCTGAGGAATCCTGACATTGTCTTCCATTATGACTGTAGTGGTTTACATACTCACCAACAGTGTACTGCTGCATTTCTTGAGCTCTTTATACATCTGGATATTAACCCTTTATTAGTATGATTCTGTTGGCTTCCTGGCTCCTATTGTCAGCTTCTCTCTTTGCCAAAATGAATCAATCACTCAGACTGATTCCAAAGGGCCTTGTCACTTAAGCCATGCAGGTACATAAACCATGCAAAGAGTCAGTGGACACAGTGTGAGCGCAGTACTGTGAGCCGGGGCAGCCAGATAAAATGACCTCCAAAAGATCTACCCACACCCGATCACACACCATGTTATAGTCACAGATTCCTTACAGTCACAGGGGACAGGAGACCTACTCTCAGCATCAAAGCCTTCTGCATCCCTGAAAAGATCTGGGGGCATTCCCAGAGCCATCTGCCTAACTTATAACGGATGTTTGCTGCTCTGCTTTGGCAAATTTAGTCCACACAGCCTGATAGAGTTAGAGTAGGACAACTTATCACAGGTCTAAGTGGGCAGTCTGCACCCTGTCAGCCCTCCAAACCAGACCCCAAATAAATAGGGATCACATAAGATTTATTCTGATAAATCCCCCACAGGTGGACCACTGCTTATCTCAATGAGTCACCGCTACATAATTGTACTGTCCCCATTGCTCCATGGTGTCTCTATTTTGGAAGAATGTTCACTGTAAACTTCTTTTCAATTATCCCCTTAACAATTCAGTTTCTCCCGCTTTCTCCTATTATTTTCCTGTGCTCAGAATCAGCACTTCCTTTCCCTATTCAGACAGCTTGGATCTAAGTATGTAGGACCCTTAACCATTGTCCCAACTGTTTGGTCTAAACTTATCCTTGAGCTGTTTCTTTCTGTGAACATTTTGAAGTGCAGTCATGCTCTATAATAGGGAAAAGATGCCCTTTAACTGGGAATGGTATAGGATAAGTCCCTAAGCTGATAATAATAATATTGTAATATGTAAGCATCTATTGCACTACGAGGCACTTCACAATGTACCTAATCTTCATTGTGACACTCTGTGGATAAGAAAACTGAGGCTGAGAGGCAGATGAAACTGGCTTACCAGCAAATACATGGCAAAGGACTTAAGACATAGCATGCTTTGAGGTTACATCTGGCTACGTGCTTCTCTCCCAATTACAGTGCTTTGCTTCATATTTATACAATCTCCATCTGCATTTCTCTCACTCAATACTGGTGTTTATCAGTCCAGAAACCCTTTTCCCACATCACTAAAAATTAAATGGAAGGTTTGAAAAGATCATGTCTGACCTATGTATTCAGAGCACATCCCTAGATCAATGTATTTACAATATCCCTTCAGAAAGGGTTTACATGCAAGCAAAGGTGGATTTGTAATTTTAAAGATGTACTTTTCATTTATATGTGAAAGGCAGAGTTACAGAGACAGAAGAAAACAGAGAGAGAGAAAGAGGTGTTCCATTTACTGATTCACTCCCCAAATGGCCATGTCAGCCAGAACTGGGCCAGACCAAAGCCCATACCTGGAGCTTCTTAAGGGTCTCCCACATGAGTACATGGGCTCAAAGACTTAACACATCTTCTGTGGCTTTCCTAGGTCATCAGCAGGAAGCTGTATTAGAAACAGAGCAAGTGGGTGTGAACTGGAACCATATGGGATGTCAAGTGCTGCAGGTAGAAGCTTAGCCTACTATGCCAGGGATCTAATCCTACAGTTGGGATTTTAAAACAATCTGTGGGGCTTGGTGCAATGGCCTAGTGGCTAAAGCTTTGCCTTGCACATGCCAGAATCCCATATGGGTACCAGTTTGTGTTCTGGCTGCTCCACTTCCCATCTAGATCCCTGCTTGTGGCCTGGCAAAGCAATAGAGGATGTCCCAAAGTCTAGGGACCCTGCACCCATGTAAGAAACCTAGAAGCAGCTCCTGGTTCTTGGCTCCCAGCTTCAGATTGGCTCAGCCTTGGCTGCTGAGGCCACCTGGGGAGTGAACCAGCAGAAGGAATTCTGCCTTTCAATAAAATAAAAATTTTAAAAATATCTGCATTGCTCCAAGGTCCTTAACTACTATTCCAGTTCACCATTCTGATTTACTTCTAGCTATCTCACGGGTGACACAGTGCATATTAATACCATAGTGCTTGTATGGCGCATAAAGTGACATGCTCAATGCTGGTTGTTTCTATTATCCCTCATCCTTGAAAATAACTTTCCATTTGGCAATTCAGACTACTCTATGTACTGTAAAACTGCCACTTACTGAGTCTGCCTTAAACTAGACTATTCTGAAAGAAATGGCTAGTTTTCTATCAAGCTCTGCAAATACCTAGAAGTTTATGAACTTCCATTAGAGTTTTGGCCAAATGTGTGGCATGGGCCTATGTCTTTTTCTTGGTATTCCTGACTTGTTTGCCGTGAATGTCCTGTGAGCTCCCGGGGACAGCTAAAGCCAAGAGGTCTTATTTACTACACTCCATGCTTCCCAGTGATATGGTATGACCCTGTCTGGAAACTCCCCAGCCTATTCTACCCTAGATGAGGGGCATACTCATTCCCACCGCACATATGCTATAGCCAGAGACCAACACTGTCATGATTAAAAAAATTATATTGGCTAAGTCTGGGTCTAAATAATCAATTAAGCCAATTTAAAAGGGAATTTTTCTGTGGCTAGCATTGTGATGCAATGTGTTACATAACTGCTTAAGATGACAGCATCTCATATGGGAGTTATGGTTCAAGTCTCTAGTACTTCCAACTCCGGCTTCCTCAACATGCTTGGGAAGTAGAAGATAGGTCAAGTAGTTGGGCTTCTGCCATTCACATGAAAGACCAGGATGCAATTCTAGATTCCTGATATGGCCTGGCCTAGATTGACTGATGTGGTCATTTGGGGAATAAGCCAGCTGATGGAAGATTTCTCTCTCTCTGTCTCTCTCTTGCTCATTCTCATGCTCTCTGGATCGCCCTCTTTCATCATTTCCTCCTACTTTCTTGTCTTATCTCATTGTTATCTCTGCCTTTCAAATAAACAATTCATATTTGTCTTTCAAACAGCATCCAGGGCCCAGAGCAATAGCATAGCAGTTGGGGTCCTCGCCTTGAACGCCCCTGGATTCCATGTTCTAATCCCAGCAGCCTAGCTTCCCATCCAGCTCCCTATCTGTGGCTTGGGAATGCAGTAGAGGATGGCTCAGGACTTTGGGAACCTGCACCAGCATGGAAGACCCAGAGGAGGAGGCTCCTGGCTTAGGATTGGCTCATCTCTGGTCGTTGTGGCTGTTTGGGGAGTGAAATATCAGACAGAGGATCTTTCCTCTCTGTATATCCACCTTTTCAATAAATAAATAAATACATCTTTAAAAAAAAAAACAGCATTCAGTTTGCAACTGTTCTTTCCTCACTGGACATGCTTTTCCTTTTAAAGAATCATATGCAAATTTAGAAGTTCAGGAGTTATTCAAACTCTGCATGGCTAGAAACAACCTATATTGTTCAATCGTTATCTTGCTCCTCTGGAAGGTTCCAGACCACCCAAGTGGATGCTAGACCTCTTGTCCCAAGCCAGCTGGAAAGTATTTAGGAAGGAACAGAGAAAAGCTCAGGAGAAGAGAAATATGTGTGCACACATTCTAGGTTGTGTCATCTGATACCTTACACAGCTCCTTAGGATAAACTTTTTTTCACCAGAGTGCTCATCTACTTAGAGGGTCAGTTTGGGAAGAATCAAGATAAAACATAATGTAATATAAGCACGGGTACCCTAAAGCAACAGATCGTAAAAAAAGATGGCAGTATGAATTGGGAGAATCCAGACAGAAGGATCAGAATAAGCAAAGGTCCAAAGATGAAGGGATGGAGATGGAGATGCAAAGCAAAATAACGTATGTAATTGAGGAGCATGGAGATATTAGCAAAGTCAAGCTTTCATGTGGAATAGTGCTAGGAAATAGGGCTGGAGAGGAACACAGCTGTTTTGGCATGAGACTCAATAACATTTACTTAACCTAGTTTATGACTCCTTGAAGAAGAGGTGGAATGTTCTGATTCTTGGAAATTGCATTCAGGTCACAAATGAAGGATTTTGAAACCACATCCAAATTCAAGAAAAGAAGCCTATTCTCTTTCACTGGGGATTCTGCTACCTGCTCCTCAGGACTGCTGCTTCTCAGGAATCGATCCTTTATTGGCATCTCTTTCTGGAAAGCCTCTTAAGGCAAGTGCCTTGCCCTTGTTTTAAATCACAAATCTTAATGCTACCTCTCTCAAGTCTATGTCTTTGCCCTTGTCTTTCTCTTGAGAAAATCCATTTGTCTGCTAATTATATCAATTGTTATTAAACTTAACATTATCTTCCTACCAAGACCCATTCTGCTCTTGCATTTCCTACCTCTAGTAGGTCTTTTCCTCTCTTTCTCTCCAACTTCTATTCTTTGCTCTCTTCCACATTTTTATTCACATCTCAAGAAATTCTTAGATGAAAACTTCATTTTCTCCTGATGCCATATTAAATATTTCACCTTTGAGGAGTTCACAGTTTAGTACGGTAGGTGGTTCAGACATGTCATCCTTGCACAGGGGCCATGCTAATCTTCTCTGTATCATTCCAATTTTAGTATATGTGCTGCCGAAGTGAGCACGGTAGGTAGTTCAATAATAGTAGTTCAATAATTCATTTTAAACTGTTGTAATAAGATTCCTTGCTAGAGATTATTTCATTATGTATATACCATGTTTTCTTTATTCATTCATCAGTTTACAATTAAGTTGTTTCCATTTCCTGATTACATTGAACAGCGCTGCAGTAATCATGGGACTGTGGATGTCTCCATGATATACAGATCCACTCCCCCCAAATCTATAACCAGTAGCAGGGTGGCTGGACCATAAGGTAGCTGTTTCACTTTTCTGTAGAACCTCTATACTATTTTTCATTAAGTAATAATAATTTGCTTTCCCACCAAGAACATGCTGAAATGGTTTCGGCTTTACCCTGAAAGAAACAAGGAACTGAGAAGAGAAGTTACCTGAGGTAGATGTTCACAAAAAAAGGTTACTCTGGAGAGGAGTTCAGTATGATTTTTGAGGCAGAGAGCAGTTCCAGAAGTAGATGGATCCACCAGGGAGATGTTGTTTTGCTCCAGGTGAGTTTTCTGAGCCTGGCAAAACAGATAGAATGGAAACACTTGTCACAATGGGGAGATAGGAGTAAAAGATGTGTCAAAAACGGTGCTCAGACTTGCAGCAATTTTTAAAAATAAAAATTTGATAATTTGGTCCAAAATGTTATTGAGTATCTGTCTTGAGCCAGGAACCATTCTGAGTCTTTGGGTTAAAATTGATCTCCAGATCTGGCTGGCTTCAAGGAATCCATCATGTAATAAAGGGGAGAAATCATCACAGACAATAACTGTGAGAGATGTGGACAAACATTGCTGCTTAGTCGGGAAGGGTAGACCATATGCCAGCTTCCCAGAGCGGAGGATACTTGGCTCTGCTGCTCTCTTGGTATATACATGCACATCTAGAACTATCAGCAAGGAACCTAAGCTGGCAGTCTTGCAAATGTTTCGAATTCATTAGGTCTAAAAGTAAAATTGAATTCATGGAGGCTGGTATTTTCCCTAGCAGATAACACTCCTGTGTACCACATCAAAGGGTTTGGGTTTGAATCCTGGCTTCCTGCCAATGTTGACCCTGGGATACAGTTGTGACAAGTCAAGTAGCTGGTTCTCAACCACACACATGTGGAACATGGATTGCTTTCTTGGCTTCCAGCTTCAGCCTGCCTTATTTGCAGCAGTTGCAGCCATTTGGGGTAGTAAACCAGCAGATGGGAGGGTACATACTATTTAAATAAACAAAAACTGAACTCAGACTCTCAATTCCCACAGAAGTTCTTTCACATAAAATTTTTTTTAAAATATGTATTTAATTTTATTGGAAAGGCAGATTTACAGAAGGAAGGAGAAACAGAAAGAAAGATCTTCTGTCTACAACACCTGGAGCTGAGCTGATAAAAAACCAGGAGTCTCTTCCAGGTATTTCATGTGGGTACAGGGTCCTAAAGTCTTGGATCATTCTCTACTGCTTTCCCAGGTCAGGGGCAGGGATCTGGATGGAAGGTTTAGCAGCTGGGACAGGAACAGGTACCCATATTGGATTCCGGCTTGTGCAAGGTAAAGATTTAGCCACTAAGCTATTGTGCCAGGCCCATGGTATAAAAGTTCATATCCTGACTTATTCATGAAGTAAATAAATTATTTGATAGTCCATAAGGGCCAAATTATTATAATAGGCATTATGGATAGAAAATTCTTAAAACAAATTAACATTTTCAGTTCAAGTATGGGCTTTCACATTTCTGCCTTTTGAAATACTCGTCAAAAATATCCTTTCTCAATGGAATTAGATGGCCAAGACTCTGGGACAGGTTTTACCTGTGGGAAAGGAGGAACACTTCCCTGCTGCTGGTGTAGCAAAGACCACAGTGAGGCAAGAGTAACATTGCTCTTTTCCCCGTTGTCTAGCTCCAAATGGAGCAAACAGGCAGCGGGTGTCAGACGGGCTCCATGCTGCTGCCACCATTCAGTCTAGCTGGACCCAGTACAGTGAGAACAGCTTGTAATGTTCTCGTGATAAGGATTGAGAGATTGAGTGGAACATTTCTACTGAGCACAGCTTGGGATCTTTCACACAGTTCTCCCCTCCTCCAGAGCTGTTCAACTGTTGTTTGTATAAAGGCACAATTCCCAGTAGAAGCTTGGTGAGCAGCCACACAGGGAGTGAACAGTAGTAAGGAAGACTCCAGGGATAATGGGAAGCCTCAGAAAGAGTTGTCTCCTGAAGAACTGACCACCCAGCCAAGTTCATAATACACAATCCATAAATGCTCACTAAATGAATGCATAAAGAGTGCATAGGCAGAGGAAGCTTGGCAGAAAGGCAAATGGAAAGCTTTGGGGTGGAGAGCAGCACCCATCAGCTTTTCATTGAAGTGGCTTCAATTACAAACCTCTGTACTTGACTCATTGGTGTTTTATACCTGAAAATCCCAAAAGGGGGGAAAGAACAGAGGTTGAAATGTCATAATTTGTCTTATTATATCTTGAAATAAGTGTACTGTGGGAACTTTCTGCCAAATATCTATTTCATGTAACACCATGAGAGGTCTGAACAGCTGCAAATTTCTACAGTGCATTCCTGTCATTGATCCAAAGTGTGGAGCTCATGTTTCTGGTGTTGCAGTATAGAGCAGAAGGGGCAATTTTCAAATATGAGACCCCCTATAAATATTTCTAACAGCTCTCCTCCAATCCCAACCCTAGCCCCAGCCTCAACTGCCCACAGCATAAAACCAGCCTTGAAAAATATACCAACGCACAGAAAGCTCATACCTGAATTTTTTTTAAAGGCCTCATTGCTACATCTGCTAAGTTACATGATCTCCATTAGTTTCATCCAACTGGAATTCAGCCCAATTGGAAACATTTACTGAGCTTCCAAGTTTGAACAATTTCTTATTTTTCTCTTCATTCCTTAGCTGAATCTGTAGCCAAAAGCCAAAGCACAAACTCACCCTGAGAAAGTAAATCTTTGATTCTAGAGCTCTTTCTGACAGAGAAAGCACTTTTCTCTCCTGAGCCATCTTATTTCTCACAGGTTAGAAAAATGTGATAAACCTCTGAGGTTTGGAAGAGTTTGGAGATCATTCTACAGTGCAATGCCACTGAACAGACTGAACTGCTTAACCTTGTAAAGTTTGCACAATCCTCACCACAAGTCTAGTTGGAAAAGAGGAGCTTAATTTCCTGAAGCAAAGTTTTGGGGCTGTAGGCCCAGCCCAGTCACCCTTGTGGGCGTGGTGGTTAGAACAGGATCCAAGATGTGAGCAGGGCCCAGAAAACACTCCAGTTGGAAAGACATGGGTGCTCACAGGGAGGTCAGAATGGTTTACAAACCGAACAGATGGTAGAACTAGAACCTGCAGGAGTTTTTCTGAGACATGGTTCATTTCAGCATTTAGGGTCACTGGTGCACCTGCCTGTATGAGGTGCATGGCCACCCGTTTCCTCCCACTTGGTCTCACTGAAGACCTGCTACATCCAGGCCTACTCTTCTCAAGGGCCCCTTTCCACCTGCTATTTAACATGCAGTGCTGGGCAGAGACCAACTGGGTCATGGCAGTCCCTGGATCATCAGGGAGTTCCTGTGTGAGGACTTAGGCATACAAGATCACAAGTAAAGGCAGTTCAGTCTCTATAATCACAGCAGGGCATTTCTTGGGGTTTTATTTTTCTAAGTGTTGTTACTTAATGGCTGGCACATATGCCCAATGACAGATTCATAATTCTTAAGACAGCAACTTGAGAACAGAGATGATTTTTGTTTCGTTCTAATGACCGCAGTAATAACATAGGGCCCAGTGGTGTGGTCTAGCGGCTAAACTCCTCGTCTTGAATGTGCCAGGATCCCATATGGGCCCGGTGGCATGGCCTAGTGGCTAAACTCCTCTCCTTGAATGTGCCAGGATCCCATATGGGCGCCAGTTCTAATCCCGGCAGCTCTACTTCCCTTCCACCTCCCTGCTTGTGGCCTGGGAAAGCAGTCGAGGATGGCCCAAATCCTTGGGACCCTGCACCCGTGTGGGAGACCCAGAAGAAGTTCCTGGCTCCTGGCTTCGGATCGGCATAGCATTGGCTATTGCGCTCACTTGGGGAGTGAATCATCGGACGGAAGATGCTCCTCTCTGTCTCTCCTCTCTGTATATCTGACTTTCCAATAAATAAATGAATCTTTAAAAAAAAAAAAAAAAGAACTACATATACACTGAACAAAGAAGTCTACTTTTCTAAAGCAGCATTGAGGCCTGATGTAACCAGATGGCAACTTTCAAAACAATAAAGATTATTTTTACGTGTTACGAGCTGTTATTAGAAATCTACAAAAGTAACCTAATAGTTTTTCATTGATAAAAATTACATATTTATGGTGCACAACATGATCTTTTTTATACATATCTGCAATGTGAATTGGCTCAGTTATTCAACATATGTATTACCTCACATACTTATAATTTTATGGTGAGTAAACTTGAACTCTACTTTGCTAGCAATTTCAAATAAACACAATTTTGTTATTAACTGTCATCATCTTAAGCTTTTTTTCCTAACTGAATATGAATGTTGTTGTGATGAACAAGGGAATATAAATCTTTCTGATTCATTCATTCATTCATTCATTCATTTACAAGGAAGAAATGCAATGAAAAAGGAAGGGATTGAGGTATCTTCTATCCACTTGCTCATCTACTAAATGGGTTTGGGTCAGACCGAATCCTACAACCTGGAACAAAATGTGGGTCTCTCTTATGGCTGCCAGGAGTCAAGTATTTGAGCCATGATACATTGCTTTCTCAGGTACATTGCCAGGAAGCTGGATCAGAAGTGAAGCAGCTGAGACTTGAGCTAGCAGTCATATGGGATGTTGGCATTGCAGATTGTGGCTTAACTCTCTGCATTGTATTGCTAGCTCCATGGAGATATGTCATGGGATATAAACCCAGAAGTAGGGTTGTTGAATCATATGGTAAATTAATTTTTAATGTTTTTGAGAAATCTTCATGTTTTTTTAAATATCA